CTGCTCTGCCCTCAGCAGCCAGGACAACACCAGCCCGTGGGCACAGGGATAGCAGAGCTACCCTGGACCCTTCAGGAGCCCCCAAAGCCTCCACCACGCTGCGATCGACCTGCGAGTCCAGGCAGCCCCATGGGAGCTACATGATCAATTATTTTTCTAATCTTATCTAGCTGTCTCTCTCCTGCTTTCTCGTGTGCCTTTCCCCCCCTGCCCTCCCCTCCCTCCCTGTGCTTTGTAGCCACCCGACAGCCCCGCTTCCCCCCTCCAGCCCTTCCCTTTGATCTGAGGAAGAAGCAATTGATCCTCCTTATCTTTATTGTGGTAGAGACATTCCCAGCACTGCCCTTAATTAAATTCCTCTTCATTTTCTTCCATAAGCCTTTCTTTTCCCCAACCCCAGGCAAGTATTTATTTTTAAACGTGCAATTAAATTATTATATTGGCCATGAGTAGAAGAGCAGCCTGATCCACCCGGGCTCTGCTCAGTTCAGGGGGTAACATCAGGCATTTCCCCTGCTCTTCCTCCCAGGTTGTCAGGTTCATAGGAGCTTGAGGGAGCTCAAACTTGGGGGCTGGCAGCCCCTGTGCTGCAGCAGGGCTTGGGACCAGCCCGTGGCAGAGGGACAGCAGGGAGAAAGGTTTCAAACTGAAAGAGAGTAGTTTTAGATTAGAAATAAAGATGAAATTCTTTGCTGTGAGGGTGGTGAGAGCCTGGCCCAGGTTGCCCAGGGAAGCTGTGGCTGCCCCCTCCCTGGCAGTGTTGAAGGGCAGGTTGGATGGGGCTTGGAGCAGCCTGGGCTGCTGGGAGGTGTCCCTGCCTACAGCAGGTGGGAACGGGATGGGCTTTCCTTCAACCTGTACCGCTCTGTGGTTCTACAATTCTAGGGCAGCAGGTTTCCAGCAGCCAGCACCCACAGGCACTGGCTCTGGGAAGGTCCATGGTGGTGTTGGCAGTGGGCACAGTGGCCCAGGTGCTGCCTGCAGTAGCAGAGGGACTGTGGGTGGTGGCACTGGCAGCAGTGATGGCTTTAGCACCAGCCGTGGTGGCACAGCCTCTGGCCACCGCTGCTCTCCCCAGGTGAGACCCGTGGATCTGGCTCTGGCTCTGCACTGATTTAAGCTTTTCCGCTCGGTAATTTTTCCTCCAGACACTTTGACCCCGGGGGCAGCAAGTATTTTTCATGTAGATCAGTCGAAATTCCCCTGGAGACAGCTCAGGAATGTGAGGCATGTTATCCTTGGTACCAGCTCTTTCTTTTTACGACCTAAGCTTGGCCACGCCAGGGGGGGAAGGGGATGTCTGGGGTCCTGCTGCCTTTCCCATTGATGACTGCCAACCCCCCCACCCCCCCCTAAACCCCTTTCCTCCTCATCCTCCTCCTTGGGAAAATTCCCCCTCTGCTTTGCAACCCCGTGGCTGCAGCATGTCTGGGATGGCCACCCCAGTGGGTGCCTGGGGGAGGGTCTCTGCTCTGGGGTTTGCACGGGTTGATTTGGGGTGAGCCGGGGTGAGGTGATGCCAGCAGCACCCCAAAAAGGAGGTGAGCTCCTCTGTGTCCCTGCAGGAGGGAGCAGGCTCGTGGTGCTCCTCTCCTGGGACACGCAGGGAGGTCCCTGGAGCCACGGGGACTCTGCAGGGCTATTTTGGGAGATGCCCCAGCAGAGCAGAGGGCAGCAAATACATTATTTTATCAGCCGTGGCTCGTGCAGCTGGAAACCCAACGGCGTAACATGAGATAAATCACTGCCTTGTTCACTCTATTAAGTGCAATTACCCCGTAGATACCAAAGCAATTTATTATTATTACTTCTGCCAAGCTCTCTGCAGTGATGAGCAACCGTGCACAGGAGCCAGGGGAAGGGGGCCAGTGCTGCCTGGCCACCCCTTGCCCCACGCCCCAGGCACCCCAGGGTCCCTTTGGGTGGCACTGCTGGAGTGGCTGCAATCCTACAAACCAACCCAAAAACGGGGAGTGAAGGGAAACTCTCTGGGAAGGTGCCATCCCACTGGCTTGGCCACAGAGTTGGTGCCCTTTGCCCCTGCAGCCCCCCCCCCAAACCCCTCTCTGGTTTCCCCACTGAGCTCCCAGTGTCTGTCCTCCCCCCCTGCAGCACTGGGCACCAGGCTCAGCCTGCACCCCTGCCAGCCCCCCTGGCTGCCCCCCACCCCAGGGAAGGGGTGTCTGAGCCCCGGGGCCAGGAGGGTCCCTGTGCCTGGTGGCACCAGCTCCCTGTGCCCGCCCGCTCTGCCTTATCCCGCTCTCAATAGGGGATTGGGAGCCCAGCTGCAGCTATTACATAAAACTCAATTAGCAAGGCGGGCGAGGGAGGCCTGAATGGCATTAAGGAATTCCTCCCGGGCTGACGTCAAAGCTTCACCTCTCCTCCCGCAGCCCGCACAAAGGGGGCTGTTATGAACCCCCCCCGGCCCCGCTGCGAGAATGCGAGTCCTCAGGGAGCCCCGGCTCGCACATGCCATGCGGGAATTGTCCCTGCCGCCAGCACAAATGTCACCGGCAG